CTCCCTCCCTCCCTCCCTCCGTAGTCATGAAGACCTATCAGATGGGGTTCGGGCCCGTGCATCCACGCAATCCTCACCATCGGGCGACAGCTTGCGACCTTCAGGGTGAGGAGGAGGGAGAGAGGGAGGGAGGGAGGGAGGAGGGGAAGGAGGGAGGGGGTCTTGAGGCATACGAAGCCAAGGGAAATGATCCGGCCATCCTCTTGAAAAGTGTACTCGATTTGGTTCTGCTAATACTGGCGGGGATATTTTAAAAGGGAGGGAGGGGCGATTCCATGCTTCAGGGAATGTGGAAGATAGAGAAGGGAATTTGTGGGAAAGGAGTCTGGCACACGAAAATGCGATTATTGAAGCTAAGGGGGATAGCAACAGACGCGACGCGGGAAGAAAAGGAGAGACCTTTCTTTGGCCCATAACGTCTGCGAGATCGCAAGCTCAGGCAGGTCTTCAAACCCAAACTCCTTTCCCTCCTTCCTCCCCTTCTCTCCAGGAGAATGTGAATGCAGCGACCGAGGCTCCTACCACATCCTGTACGGGGCCATAGTGGGGGGCCCTCGGGAAGACGACTCCCACCACGACAAATGCCCCGACTTCATCACGTAGGCCAGGGAGGGAGGCAGAAAAGGCGACGGGGAGGGTGGGGCGGAGGGAGAAAGGGAGTGGGGTGCATGGAGCCGACAGCGTTTCTATCGTACATCCGTGCCCTGTCCTTGAGTGTTACCCACATGATAACTCTAATCCTGACCCTAATCTGACATCTTCCGGACCGGCACGCGACAGCAACGAAGTGGCGTTAGACTACAATAGTGGTACGGAACGACCGACTTGCCGTTTGACTTCCTCCCCGACGCGTCGGCCCTCCCTCCCTTCCCTCATGAAGATGATGCATGTCATGCCCTGTCTCTCCTTCCTGCGTTCCTCACTCCGTCTCTTTCACCCTCATGCAAAGGTTTCCAAGGGGCAGTGGCTGGCCTCAAGCAGCTCAGTGTGCAAAACCTTTTGAACGACGACGTGCCTACAAGGCAATAGACGAGGCTGTGTTTTTCCCACTATAAGGGGGGAAGGAGACTTGTCGAGGAAAGGGGATGGGGAGGGAAGCCGGTGGACTTTGATGATAGGGAGGGCGGATGGCCCCACTGCGTGGAAGGTATGACAGGCTGCACGAGGACAGATACATTAGATTGGCGTAACGCATGTCAAACGAAGGGGTTTTGGCTTGTGAAAAAGCAATAATGGAAGGTTGTTGGGTGGTGGTAAAGGGAAGGGACACGGGAAAAGTCTGAAAAGGGCGGGATAGATAGTGAGACATGGGGACAGATGTGTTGGGTTGATGGAAAAGGTGAAAAACACAGAGTGCTGATGAAAAGTACGAAGCCACCTGCAGCCTTCACGCTCGTGCCCAAATGTGAAGTAGAGGTCAAAGGGAAAAATCAACGCTGGGAATCGAATTAAAAGGGGTCAAATATATTCATTTGCATGTCACTGGTGGGATTGGTATGCTTTCGCAGACAGGGCTCTTTTTGAAAGCGGCTCAAATCAGAGCTATCTGCAAGTAATGATGAAGTGTCGTGTTTTCGAGTGAAGCTCACCAAGATCAGTGGTTGTTATTTTAGGGAAAGAAAGCGCCTGCTTTAGTATCAACACCCCAATCGTCCGCTGGCCTCGGTCATAAATGCCTCCATGGCCTTGTCTTCCTTGTTTCTTTGAGACTTTTTCCAATGTAAGCCAACGCCAGACTAGCCGCGCTTTTGCCCTAGTGTAGACAGCCACAAACGAAAGCGTTGTTTCGATCATGGAAATGGACAAAAAACTGCGACGCATGCCTCGCTCGGGCGTATAGACATGTCGGACGATTGAATCTCATGCTCTTTGCCTTAGACACAATTATAAACACGGAGACATGCATCTCACGTGACTTGTAGGGCTTACTATTTCTGAACCTTATTATGTTAGACCGTGAGGCTGCAGTTGATCTTTTTTAAAGCGTCTGGTGATGCTTAATGTCGTATTTTGTGCGGTATCTCGTTACTCGAGAAAACGGATTCGACTGTTCCTAACTTCTTTTCTACCGACGCAGAGCTGACAAGCCAAAGCTTGCAACGACGACTAGCGCATGCCCTTGTATGATAGTGTGACTCTTTTACAAGTAGATTTTGGAGCATGTAATTACTTTGTTCTTCCTACTGCGAATTTGGCCCTTGATGAACAGCGTGCATTGAACCTCCTTCCCCTTCTATCCCTGTCCTCAGATCATGCCGCCCTCGGGGCCAACCCCCCTGCAGAAAATCGACTCAAATGTTTCTGTCGAAATGCTTAATCGCGCGGACCGTGCAGCGCCGGCGCCTTTCCTGAAGGCCACCAAGTCTGTTCGAGCACAATCTACTCGGCTATTTAAACCTGTGAAAGGGTAAGCGCTCCAAAGGACAACACATGGATGAAAAAAACGTATACCAATAGAATGTCTGAGAAGTGCCAGAATAGTGGTATCAATGACTTGGGCAACTGATTCCTTCGGAACATTTGACGCTTTTCCCCGGTCGAACCGTCTTCCCCCCTCATCAGGTTTCATGAACGCGACGACTTCCACATCCTGCTTTTCGCCTCCTTCTGCTTGTGCTTCAACGCTGGATTCGTCAATACCGTGACGATGTCCTCGTATTTTGCCATGACCACCTCGCACGTGACGGGCCTGGTAAGGAAAAGAGGCGGGGGGGACGGGAGGGGGGGGAAGGGAGGTGAAATAGAGGCGGCGATTCTAATAAAAACACAAAGAGAGAACACCCCTTACGTGTACCGCCTATTACCAAGCCACGAGGAA